CTAAAGCTTAATTTTGAAAAGACGATATGTGAGTAACTGTATTAAGCAAAGTGGTGTAGGGTATTTAATGGTGGACCCTCGTCCATTTTAAAGAAGTTGTGATGTTACATACTGAGCTACAAAGATAACATACTTCCTCATAATGTGTATGATATAATCGCCATAAATAGGAAAAAGCTCTGCTGCATATTTATGATATTTCATTTTAGATATTATTGGACGATTTCGTTCATTTCGTTTTCTGTGCCAATTTTGCGACCATTTTTGGAATGATTATAATTTAACTTAATTTTGAAATCATTCACTTTATTAAGACCTGCATAATAAACTTTATATATGCACTATATACATATTCATCTATATACATACGTACTGGTATATGCTATAAATTTTATTGCGATTTTTTTAAATATTTATTCATAAGATATATTTTTTTTTTCTTTTTTTTATTTTTTGTGGAAGAAAACGCGTACACAAGTGCGCGCAAGATATGCCGGAGAGAGACAGAGGAGAGTTCTTTAACTTAAATACTGTCACTTATGCTCCACGCATGCTTAAATATTTTGAAAACAAACGCACTTATAGCCCAGCTATTACTCCTGACTACTAGGCAGAACTTAGCGGTCGTGAGTTAGTCATCGCGATTGTAGTCACTTGGTTGGTTTCGTGAAGAGCAAAAAAAAAAAAAAAAAGAAAAAGGAGCATGCATTGCACGTTCATCAATAAATAATAAAATAAATGCATATATTTTTATTATACAGCAAACATTTGTTGTTCAGTTCTTCATGTTTTCACGAAGATTTCTTCAATATTTGATTTTCGTTTTTGTACTTTTTTTTTTATCTCCTCTTTTTGCTTTCGCGTAAAGCAAAAACAATATGAAAACTAAATACAAGAGAACAGATATGAAATGTCGTAGGGACAGACAAATGGTTATTATTCTGAATGTTCTGAAAACATTTGTTCATCTCTTATATATATATATATATATATGTATGTATGTACGTGTTTGTCTGTTTATTGAAAAGCATTTTGATCAATATTGGATTCATTTTAAGCATTATAAGCGTCGTCATCATATTGTTATAAAACAACTCTACTGACAAAAGGAGCTCATTGAAAAAAGCCGCCTTAAATATCAAAAATATAATAAAAAAAAAAATTTCTTTTGCTTTATAAAAAGCATGCATAAATTTTAACATCCTTGAGAACTTCAACGTATGAGTATTTTAATGCATAAAGCAACTGTTACTCTCTTGGCCAAATAAACAAGAAGTAACAACTGTAGCATTGCCACCGCCACTACCACCACCACCACCACCGTTACCATTACCATTATCGTCATCATGATGTTTAACTTGTGACAATTCCTGGCGTGGTTTTCCTTTTTTAAATGAAAGCATAGCAATTTTATTCGCTTAGGAAAAAATTGGTGTTTTTTTTGTTTTTTTTTTATTTTTAAAGTTCTGTGTTTCTGTTCTTTTTCTTTTATTTAGCTCAGAAATATAAAAATACATACAACCGTACACAGGCATGCAGGCGTATTCGTTCATACATATGTCAACTGTCTTGGAAAACACATGTAGACATAAATGTCAGATGTCGCTTATAACTGCAACGTTTATTTGTAAATCAAGCTTGTATGCCTTGCGATTATATATGCGTGCGTACGTATGTGTGTGTGTGTGTGTGTGTGTGTGTATGTGTGTGTGTGTACGTGTGTACGTGTGTATGTGTATGCATCTATGTATATGTGCATACAAAGTCCCAAACCTAAATCGATAATATACATACACACTAGTTAAACATAGCAGTAAGCAGTAAAACATCTACTCATCATTCACCTCATCGTCATCATCATCATCGTTAAAGAGCATCATTTAGTCATAACTCTTATTTTAGGCCTGCCTATCTACGCGCGGTCAAACACACACAGCACACAACACACAACATACGCACATCAAAGCAAATACAGAGTCCATCAGCAGTCGTCTCCGCTGAGTATTTATTTAATCGATTATCATTTTTAATAATCGCGCAATATGCTTTATTATTGTTGCGCTGCCCTGACGGCTGGGCTTATTGGTCTACCTCATCTTCGTCGTCATTATTATTATTATTATTATTATTATTATTAACATTTCTTTTGCTTTTCGTTTCTTTTAAATTCAGTTAAGGTGCATTTATAGTAAATCTTTGTTTCTTTCTTTTTTTTTTTTTTTTCGTTGCTCATTGATTTGTTTACTTGCGTTTGTTTGTATTATTGCATTTAGTATAACTATGATTCAATATGGACATGTACGCATGTTTTAATGACATTACTTTGACATTTATGACTTGTGTGTGTTGAATGTATGACGTCGTCGTCGTCATCATCATCGTCATCGTCATCGTCATCGTAGATTTCATTGTCGTTGTCTAGCTTATTGTTACTGTTTCTTTTTTGTTTGCTTTTTTTTTTTTTTTTTGCTTTCCCATTTTGCCTCCAACGGTTCGGTTGTTGTTATTGTCATTTCATTAGTTCGCATTATGTACATATGAGCAAATATATATGTTTCCTTATGCTATGTTTGTATGATAGTTTTCTGTTCTATTTTAATTGCTTTTAACGTTTATCTACTACTACGATGAGGCGAGATGGAGGCTTTCCATCATTCTTAAAGTTTTTTTTTTTTTTTTGTCTTTTTTGGTTTTTAACTACTTCTGCTGCTGTAGACTGTTGCCAGCGAAACGATTGTTTTTGGAGTTTAGTAGTAAATGAAATCATAAATGCTTAAATAATGCAATAAATTTTGTAGAAATCACAAACAAGATGCCATCTTTCGGCAGACGTTTGTGATTTATATGAGTGACATTGTTTTTTGTCGTATACTTAAGCAAACATTCGCATACAGTAGAATCTATGTAACTGCGAAAAATGCACTTAACTGCAGTTCCCTTCACTAACAGCAAAACAAACTTTCGGATACAATTTATGTTTTATCAGATGACAAGCGCTAAAGCTAGTTCGGAGGCCCGTGTTATCAAAAAAAAAAACTTACTTTATTTGCAAATGAATTTGAAAACCAATGCCGCTAAAGTATCTAAACGCGCTGTACTGTAAATCTGCGCGGCTATCGTGGAGAAAGTTTTAAAACTAACATAGATTTCATCTGATTATTGGTCTTCTTCAGATCTCTTTACTACTCTTCCCATGTCTAGTAATTATTATAAAAAATTTTCTTATTTATTAGGGATACAAATAAACATAATTAAAAGCAAGTAAAAAAAATACTAGAGTGGTACATAGTTCACCATTAAATACCCTACGCCCCTTCGCTTAATCGTTATTCGTATAACGACTTTTCATATTAAGGTGGTAAGCGGTCTGATCCAAACCATTTTCAATACCGCTCACCCTTAGGCAAGACATCTCGGCATACCAAATTTCATCCAAATATCTCAAAAGTTGTGACCTGTAGGTTCAACAGAGGAAAACCAGACGATTTTTGAACCATTTTCCGAATCGACCGGTATAATAAACGGCGGATCTTTCTCAAGTTCTTATGTGTATTGCATACATCCGCATAAACCTAATATTCCCGTGTGCCACAAGTTGTCTACGGTATAAATACTTCCTAGGAAGATTAACAATCAAAACATGCACCATCACTAGCTCTCTATCTAGTCTTTCGGCTCGCCTGTACATCTGCGAATGTCGTAGCGATGAAATCGTCACGATTCCTAGACATGTTCGCGCGTTCCCAACTTTTTTATAAGCTGGCGATCAGCTAAGTATGATTCCATCGATCTGAAACAATGCTAAGCAGACAGCTTTGGAGAATAATCTCCGGAGAGAAGTTCCCATCCCAAATTAAAGATCATTTCTTAAGTTGTTTTTACTGAGGACGTACGGACATATACAAACATTCATTATCTTCAAAACTAAATTTTTTGCTATGAAATCTTGCACAGCTGACTGAATGTCCACTCCAAGCCAACTTAATCATTTACGAAGGTTCAGCTACACGTTTTCCCGTTCAAAATAGAATAACGTCCCGCTCTTTGCGCCTTGATATGCCCTGAACGGCAGGTTCCAAGCAATGCTATGTATGCCCAAAATTTTGAAATAAATGAGGACGAAGGCAGAATACATTTGTAGACGTAATAAGAAAACAGAAAAGAAATAAACCACCAAAGGCAGATTTATGCTAATTTTCTTATATTTTTATCATTGAAAAACACTAGAACTGCCTGCCATGTTAGTAGGAATTAAGGCAACAGAAGTACAAATAAGTTTTTAAAGGTCTACGATGGAGGCCATTACCATTAAAATTAAACCGTCATGGACCATAATCATGTTTATGTTAAAGCATCATGACTGGACTTCAGTTTTCATCCTGCGTGCCGAGTGGCCCCTGCACAAGCGCACAGGCGGACTTGCTTAAGTCGATGCAGAACTGTAATGCACTGGCTAAGAATATAGATACTTTGTGGAGTTTTCTTTCTGAAGGTTCCTTTTTGGCCTTGCAAAGGTTTTGACAAAATAAACATACCCCTCATCCTTCGGCGACGGATGTAAATATGAAACTCCTGATATCTAATTAAGACGGTAAATTTGAGGCCAAAAGTTTTAAGGAAGAAAATGATTTTGTATCATATTTGCATTTGTTATCCTTTAGGATGCAGGGAATAGTTTAAAAAAGGGAGGAAACGGATAGTGCAATAGAATGAATAAAGACTGCAGGTGTTGCGCGCAAACCTTTAAAAATCACTTATGCAACATGGTGCTATAATTTCTAACGGTAAGACAGGATTACTTACATTTTGCGCCTCCAAAAAAGTCCAAGTCAGAATAGAGTATGAATAAAAAATGAATATATATAGGTAGTGGAAATCGTGAGCAATGTTGTTTTACTTCAAATTTGCTTACATATGTAAAATTTGAAAAAAAGGATCTTTTAAAAAGTAATAAAAATATATTTGATAAAAACGAATGGTGATTGCTTGCACCGTGCACTTCAAACGCTTTCAATCTCGATATCGAATAATAGCATATCGCCCGAAACGAAAACTGTATCGACATATTTCGGATTTACTTTATATTCATATTCAAAGGCTGGCTTATCGTTTACGTAAATTTCGAAAGTTTTTTTACCGCGCAAAACGGAGAGAAGAAAATCGGCATTCGGTCGTAAACCCGTGCCCACTTGTGATACCAATTCGCCCGTCCATTTCCCACCTGTAAAAGAGTTCCGAGCAATCGTTGGCTCGCCAGTCTCACCATCTTTCCCTTTAGCGAAACGTATTTGCAATTGCAAAGCGACAGTCGGTGACGGCCACACATTAATACCGGATTGCAAGTTGATTGTAATTGTTTGCGGATTTGCTTTTATCCGACCCTTGACGGCTACACTGAATCCGGAATCAAAAAATCCCCGATCGAATATAGCATAGTAGGGCATTGGCATGAAACCTTCCGGTTCGCATATCAATTCGGGCGTTTCAGGATAAGGCTCTTCATCAACTTGCTCGCATTCGGTTACTTCGGCATCCTCAGTCAATCGGTCGAAATGCGGCGAGCTGTCCGGTCGTTGCGGATATTCAGTGACAATTTTTCGTTCAACAGCGACATCACTTATACATCCATGTATTTCCAATTTTTTAATATTATGAAAGGGTAAACGATGCGTAAACTTGCACACGTGAAAACCATTGACAGCAATCATGAATTCCGGAACTGTCAAGAGAATTTGCATTTCAAAATAACTGCCCGCTTCGAAGTGAAACGGATAATTCGTTCGTAGCTCATCGCAGCCCCATTTATTTTTTATTCTCGAGTTACGTGACAAGATATTCTTTTCCGTTGATCCAATAATACGCAAAGCAAGATCATTGTTTGCATTATCCAAGCCAAAATCGATCGTAAACCTGTCTCAAAGACAGATGAAATAATAATAGATTTTACTACGCAGGCCAATATACTACATTAGGTATAGCTATACTTATTGGTACAAGTATTGAGAACACCGTATATGATGAATGAAACACCCTCTTGAATATGACCCATGTTATTATTAAGGTACACTGGATCTGTTTCAATATCCGCGGTCAGCGATTCCTGCGCATGATACAAACAATTTTTAGGGCATCGAAATAAAATTGAGAAAAAAAAATTTTTTTTATTTTTTTTACCTCAGAATCAGTTCTACTTTTGCCGAAACAATACGCTAACATTTTGTCCATTTTTTTTTTTTACCAAACTTTGCTTCTTAGGCGATAATAAATTAATGATCCGTTTAACACGTAAAATTTATTAAAAATTTTATCAAATACACTTTTAGATATTATTTAAATTTGCATTTTTTTCTTTTTTTTTTCAAAAGCCACAAAAGGAAAGAAAAAATTTAATTAAATTTTTGAAAAAAGTCCAGCTTTCACAATTTTATAGAAGAAAAAACAAAGACAATATGAATTTTCATTCGATGTCGTTGCTGACATATTATTATTTATTTATTTTTTTTTTACATTATCGTATCATAAACATGTTCTCACTGGTTTTTCGCTCTTTTCAAAATTCCAAAGTAAAATAAAATTCGAAAACAATAAAAGCAAAGAGAGAGAAAGCGCATAGGTTAACATAAATACAAAAATTTTAAAGATATAGAAAAGTTGACATGTTCAAATGCTTTCTCAAACAAATGAAGAATAGACCGTGGGTAAGGCGAAAGCGCGGGCATACAGTGAGAATTCAATTTTATCGTAAGCTCGTTAACAGGAACGCCATAGTGCCCCGTATCGTTTACAATACAAAAATATGGATCTTGGCGTTGTAAGCGAAGGCGATTCTTTTCACATTCGTGGTGAATTTCCGAACCATGAAAAGCTGTAAGGAAAAATTTGGCACGTTTTAAAAAAATTTTGAACTTCCATTTGCATTTCTTATAAAATTCATATTTAATTTGCAAATTTTTTACAGATTTATAGTGCAATTCCAAATCGACAATGAATACAAAGATCTCGCTTTGAATCTTGTAGTACTTCCAAGGGAGAATTTAATTGCGCGCTGCTACAGAAAGAAATACGTATGGAGTCGGGAAGAAGTCGACACACAAATCGACTTTCACTGTTTGCGTGGCAGACGCGTATGGATAGAAGTGCTAATCACTGATGTACAATTTTTTATTGCCTTAAATGGACTTCATTTAGCTACGTTCGAACATCACTTTTCGTATAAAAATATCAAATCATTACAAGTGTCCGGTGGTCTTGGAAATATAATAGTCAAGAGAAAATCTGTCGACAGTTATCCGCAACGTGTAGAAAAATCTATACATATCGGTTATTTAACTGCTCCAGGAAGTGTTCGAGAGCAAATTTTTGAAGATTCTCCAAAACGTTTTGCCTAAATAAAAATGTATAAAAAATTACAGCAAAAAAAAAAAAAAAACATAGCAAAAATGATCGTTTGAAAAGTTGTTTAAATCGTTCCGGCTGGCTAATGTCAGATCACCTTGGACAATTTTGTCGTATTTTTATGTGTGTATGTGTGTGTGTGTGTTTTTTTTTTTTTATTAATTAAAAATCCTCGTAACCAGACCTGCGTTACGTTTTTTTTTTTAGAACTTAATATGGCTTGAATTTGGCATCAAGTTTTGGATCTTTGGTGTTGTTTTAAGCTGGTCTATGGAGGAAGGTTGCGAAATCTCGTAAAGTGTACATAGTTTTGATTAGTGCCAAATTCAGTCTCGATCTAAGCATGTTCGTCGATCGGGCGGCGCATTTATCCGTCTACCCATCTATCTAATGTCTGCGGTGAACGTTTTCTCGTTCACAAAAATGAAGCAATCGAGCCCGAATCTGCATGAACATTCAAAGCTCTACACGGTCATCGTTATTGGTTATGGCCCAAATCGTCCAGAGAGTTTTCCTATAGTACAACATAAGACGAGTAAGTATCTATCTGCTCATCAGAGCAAAGCAAAAGGTTTTTTACTCATTACGCGCTGTTTGAAAATTTTTCATATGAAGACATTGGAAGATTTTTCGTTTATTTGTATATACATTTATTGTAATTTATAAATTTGTAATACGTAATTTACACAACTACATTTATATAATTTTTTCGAAAGCTGCTTTTTTTTTAATCCTGCGCAAAGCGTCTCTCTATACGAAAATCAAAAGATTTTTTTTCCTCAATGGATCGTGAATGTAAAGAGGAGAACTAAAAAGATGCCAGAGACTGGAGGAAGGCTACCAAAAGAATATTTAAATAAACTTCTAATAAGCCCGTAAAATGTAAGCTCAAACTGCAAATACCTTTAGATCATCTACATATGGATGTCTATAATGCGTAACTTAAATGACGACAGACTGAAATCATTACGTAATTGCCTAAATGCCGTGTAGCAGATTTTTATGAAAATTCTTTCAAAGAGAAAAATGTAGTTTTTCAAAAGCAAATAAAGTTTGCTGAACTTCTGAACTCCTTCTCCTTTCGTCACATGCAAAAACTAAAAGCATAGACGGTTGAATATAAAACTCTTACGCGGAAGATAGCACGCCTACATAAATATTTATATACGAAAATCTGTGAAAAGAACTAACGTTCGCATGTGGTAATAAACGCAGAGGAGAAGCTTGCACCCACACACGAAATTGTTAAATACAAATAAATACCAAAAAAAAACATAATCAATGAGAACATAAATGATTTATTTATTGACACTCAAGCAAACATTTATCTCCCTACATACAAGCGTGCACGCAAGGAAGTAGTGGATAGTAATATGAAGATGAATGCAATTCGTTAAAAAAGTCCACTGCATTTTGCAAATGCAATTATACTCCCTCGTGGCCAAATATTTTACCCATCGCCCATATCCTAGAAAAAGCAAAAAAGTAAAAGAACTAAATTTCATGCTCTATAATATTAGGTGGATGTGACCGATTTTTCCTATTTTCAAAAAAAGTCCTTGTCGCACACGCCTGTAGGCATTGTAGGCGCGTCCTTGAAAAAATTTAAGTCACTTCCAAATTCTTCTATAAATTTGTAGCCGATATCTTCATTTTCGCTAACGGGAGAATGTTTACCACAAATACTAGACAGTTGCGCAGACAGACCGATGACTAGAGGAAAGGACGGGCATGTTTAGCTGCATTCTAAATTTAAAGCTTATAAATTTATAAGTAATAAACAAACTCCTTTTGAAGAACAAATGCTCTTAGTTTACATGTTACATTAGGCGTGTCTTCCGGCCGATTTGTCGCATTCTCAGAAGCAGACTGCGTGCAAGAGCTTTCAAGGTTTTCGCCAAACTTGAAGCCGATAGCTTCTTTTGCTTCCAAGAGCATGTCTACAAAAATGTTGCACGGACTGACAGACAGACCTGCTTAAATCGATTAAGAATTCAATGTTGATCAAGAATATAGATACTATGTGGGGTCTCTGATGCCTCCTTCTGGACGTATACCTGTCATTCTTCGGTGATGGGTGGGTATATTAAAAAAAAAGCCCTCTTCAAGCTTGCAAAATATTTGCGGTATTTAAGGTTAATATATTTTATCGAATGTAACAGTGTGTGAATGGTGTGCATTGTTCGGTTTTGAAAAGTTCGACGTTGATGATGCTTTTTAGTACCAAAAGAAAAGAAGAATTCGATGGAGTTTCACCGAAAACTGAGGAAGGCCGCCACATGCGCACTCATGACATTACTAAGAAATTGAAATCCGTTATTTGAATGCCTCATGAAACGTTTGATTAGCCGCATTTCTAGCAGCGAATATTTAATCAGATTATTGCAGCAAGGGGTACAATACGCTGACCTGAACTAATCAATAGAAAGGCCACTGTCTTCTGTCACGACCACATCGATTTTTGATGAATTGGCACACGTTGAAAGCGCTTGGTTGGGAAGAGCTTATGCAGGCTTGCGTGCACTGTATAGTCAGGACATTACTCCGCCCAAATGCCATTTGTTTCGCTCTACACTAAACCCCCTTAATCGTGCAAAGCTGATTTCTTTTTTCAAAAGAGCGCGTGAACAATCATCTGGTTCAGCTCTTCTCTCAAATGTTGCAGAAATTCTGAAAATTTGCAAAGCTCAAAAATAATAAGGGTTACCATGTGCTTGATGAGTAAGGTTATTACAGCAGCCTAAAAAGAATGTTTTTGGAATAGAAGGAAACATGATAGACAGAATATTTGAGGCAAATTGTAACACACGGAAATAAAGGAAATCTCGAAGCATATAAATAAGATAAGCAAATAATTGAAAAACATGACCACATTTACGTGGCAGACGTGAAACATGCAAAAAGTGTATATGTATACACCTATAATCTTCTTCTGAACTTCAACTTGGTTAAGGTTTAGTTAACTATCTAGTCTACCACAAAAAAAAACAAAGTAAAAAAGAGAGAGGGATAATCTTAGTTGCTAGTGCCCATCCTACTTTCATTCCTAGAATTTGCTTCTTTGCTCTAGATTTTATTATAATAATTATAATAAAAATAGCTAACTATTTCTCCACATAAAAACAAAACATAGTCGAAAAACTCTCACAGGGAATTTTTTTGTGATAGATATGCAGGCGTCCATCATAAAAAAGCCATTGTATGTGAAAATAGTTTTATAGGAAAAATTTGTATATTTCTTTATTTGAACTAAGACATAACGTATAATAATATAAATTAAGATTACATGTAATATAAATCAAGGTGATGCGTAGCTATCGTATTGCATCAAAACAGTATTTCACAAGTTCGCGTTAAACGAGGGCCGCCTGTAACCATCAACGCTTTCAAAGATTATTATGTAATTTTATAATTTTTGATAATTTGTCGTTATTTTTTTATTTTTATTTTTGCAAAATCTAAATTAATTAAATTAAAAACAATAATAACTTTGGTAGAAAATTACAAAACACGCAACATCATGTGCTTCGGAGGACCCGAAAACGCAAGTTAAATGAACTTTTCGAAAGAATTGCAATATAAAAGCGAGAGACATTCTCTTTTGTCATTCGTAGGAGGAGCAAAAAGATATTAAAACAGAAAGCACTAAAGCAGAAGTTGTGACAACAGAGCTTGTCAAAGCAGAAGCTGATAAGGCAAACGGTGATAGCGCAGAAACTGACAAAGCAGAAGATGATAACGCAGAAGAAGCTAATGTGGATCCAGATTTGAAATACGCAAGTCATGATCTCGGTGAAATGAAAGAAGGTGTTTCCTTTCGAATCCGTGGTAAAATACTGGACGAAGCAAGTGTGTAGGTCGAGTTTTTCTTTTCGAACGCAACTATGTGAAATGATTACGATCTATGGAAATAGGTCTTAGAGTTTTCATTGAACTATTCAAGGTTTTGAACAAGGAGTAACAATGAAATGAATTTCGAATGCATTTTCCAAACTTTTCCCTTAGGAAGAAAATCGGATAATTTTTCTGTTCCTATGGTTATTCGTTTTGAGTTTAATTGAGCGAATTATATGGGGTAGTAATCACTAATAAGATGGAAAGCAGATAAAACGGGCTTCGCCCGCACTATAATTTCCAATTCAAACAATTACTTATAAGAAAGCCGTCCATATTCCAAAGATAATGTTTCCAAATGATGTTCAAACATCACCCCATAGGCCACATATACTAACATGTATATATGTACAGTGTACATTTGTATTAAAATTCTTTAATACCTTTTCTCAGCTAAGATATTATAAAAATTTCCTACCAAATCCGAACACACATCCGAACACTTTCTTAACTAATCCTTTTAGATTTTCAGTACATTTTTTGCTTGAAAATGCGACTCAAGATTGTGCGTTGCGTATACTGGCACTGGTGGAAGAAAACTTGATAGCACGTTACTACAAAGATAATAATAATTGGGGTCCTGAAGAAGATTATTCTCAATCGCCTTACAAGTTAGTACCTGGGAAAATTGTTGCGATGGAAGTCTTAATAACCGAACCGGGATTCTACATTGCCGTAAACTGCTTTCATGTGTGCATTTTTAAACATCACTTTCCCTATACGCACATCAAGGCGATAGAAATACGTGGCGATATTGATCTTGCGTTTGTTGAAAGAAAATTAGTCTATGAATATCCGCAACGTTCGGCCAGATCCAGTCATTTCGGTCGTATAGTTGGTTCAGGTAAATTAGAAAGCGATGAAAAGAAGGAAGAAAAACCACAAATGGAAAATAAGGAAAGTGAAGAAAAGAATGAAGACGAAGGCGAAGGAGAAGAAGAAGGGGATCTATTTGATGAAATAGAATTTTACGAAATAATAGAACAGCCTCTACCTAAAACGCAATGCGTGCGAAAGACATATCTCCCAGTGCCATACTTTGTCTGCTTTGAAAGGGGATTTTTCGATTTAGGCTTTAGCTTCGTAATCAATGGTCGAGTACGCTCTCACGCTCTTCATTTGAATGTGTCATTTTTGACAGGATCTCACCGATGGCCGGCTCCAGCCGCTTGTTATGACGTTGCTTTCAAATTCTACAATAGCAAACAAGGTGAAAAGGCACCAGCTTTAGGGGATAATGAGGAAGCCATAGACATGAAATCAAAAGAAGATCTTAAATTGGTAATAGTGCGTGGGAAAAAAGGCTACGAGACCAAAGCAAATAAAAAATCTTTAAAAACCCGCCCGTACAAAATCAATCCTAACTATGTAAATACGGCTCTGATATATGGCGATCTAAAACTTATTGATATACAGATTATCACAGACTAAAATAAATAGACTGAGGTGCATCGAAATCATGTTATGATTTAAATGAAAGGTTTGGATTATAGTAAAAAACAAATAAAAACACAATACGGCGTCACTATCCAACATTAAATACCGCACATCATCTTACAATTATTCATAAAGCGACTTTTTCAAAATAAGGTTTTATATGGGAAGTAATCGGAAAAGTGTTCCGATGCTAACCATTTTCAATAGCGTCCTTCCCTAACCTAAAATACGTTGACATTTTCAAAAATTGCCGTCAGTAAGTTGAACATAAGAATACCTGGACCCAGACCTCAGGTCGACAAACGAACGAATGGACAAGCAGGCTTAGACTGATTCAGGCTTAGACTGATCAGTTTAACAAAAGATTGGTCTGTTCTAAGCTCTCATGGATTGTTAAATCACATCTTCACAAACAACTTGAAAAAAAATTCCTTTCAAATCTCAACCGAAAGTTTGTTTTATTAGGTAATTGCGTTAATTTTGATAGGCGACATCTACAGGTAATAATTATAAAGAAATGGGAAAATGCCAGTGCTTATAACAATTTGTTGCAAGAGTTGTCCACTCTGCCAAATCAATGTAAGTTTCTTCGACACGAAAACGTCGTATTACAAAAAATATTGTGAAATGTTGCAGAAAACGATAGAAACTATTTTGATTAGTGTGCAGTAAAAGTTCTTCTTTATTCGCGGGGTATATGTGCTACGAATACAGAAACCGTGAATACGGAATGGTAATTGGATACCAATTGGAATCCTTTTATTATTATGTATATACATATTAGATCCGCGAATAAAGAAATTTATAGCCGCGAAAATTGGGATTTTCTTAATTTTTTTTTTTAATCCGCGAATAGTGAAAACGCGAATGAAGGGAGCGTGAATAAGGATCTTTTACTATATGTTGTAAGAATTTTCCACAATAAATGCCTTTTTCAAGTGAAAAAATCATCAAAATTAATGCCACCTTCTAATTTTTATATATACTTTCGGAGAATAGGTGCTGCCGTATGATTTTCAAAATTTCCAAAATTTTTCAAGAAACCTAGCACTTAATAATAGCATACATTTTAGAATTCTAAACGAATGCGAAAAATAGCAATCAACTTTCCTAATAAGCGTTCTTACGAAAACTCAACCTTCCCATGGTGATATTTCCATAGTAGTTCCATAGTAGTAAGTTGACATACCAACTAATCGTACAGAATTTCATTCGCGTGGGTAAGCTATTCTTTGGATTAGACAGCATGCAAGGACTCCCATCGAAAATAAACCTTTATAACAAGAAAAAATGTTTAGTAAATTATGATGAAACTCCACACTCCGTAAGAGTGATGTAATGTAAAGAATAATTGAACGCAATTTGGGTCACTCTGGGTATTTTTTCCGGACACAATCGCATACAATGGTCCTTATAAAACACAAAGGAAGAATATTTCGCAAAACTTTGCACGACTTACGTCACTTCATTGTATACATGAACATAAGACAAAAATGTAAAGTAAAAATTTTGACGTATTATCGCGAAAATGAAAGAATAATTATGTTCAGTGAATTCTGGCTGGCGAAGTAGGTGAACACTTAACACACTCACATTCACTACACATTCACTTACACCTTAAAAATTTATAAAGATTCTATAGGGCAAAATCACTTTCATGAACCCCCCAATTGCGGCGAGCTAGTTAGATAACGTTAAGAGCCCTTTGAGCTGCTTTGCATGCTACATAGAATTTTTAATGGTCCGCCTTGGTCGATTATGATATTTCGACTTATTTCATAAATCTTATGCGTGTGTTCATCTATTCAAGCACAAAAACCTCGTAATTACACTACTTAGAGATAAAAGATAGTGTAAGAAATTTGACTATTTCAAGAGAAATTCCATCAAAAGATTGTGATATAAGACTTCTAGCTAAAATAAGAATCTTTTTTCAAGGTTTTCTAAGGTTCTCTTTCTTTTCACTTCATTGGTGAAGGAATTCTTAAAAGTAAAGGAGATGTTATCTAATAATGAGACTGAAAATGAGAAGTAAGTGCTATCAATAACAAAAGTGAGGTCTCGTTCCTAACATTTTTCCTGTGCGTTTAGAAAAGACGTTGAAGCGTTTATCAGCATCATCTTCTCCGTTTCGCTCTGCTTCAAAACACTTAAGAGTCCCCATTCTTTTAATATTTTTCGTTTATCTATGTCTCCTTTCTATTATTTGAAAATTTATTGCTCTAACTGGCAATGGGGAAAATTCGATATTCAGTTCAAAAAAATTATCTCTTTCAAAGCATGTTGATAATCGAATATACCTCTATGAAAATCGACAATATTCAGTAAGTGCTACGATTCATACACACGTGTAAAATAAATACTTTCTTTAAAATGACAAGAAATATTCCCTCGAGTAAGATGTCATTATGTCACATATGTTACATTTAATCTGTTTTAGAATCGAAGATGTTTGCCTTATGTACTAGCTTTTGCAAAGGCGAGGAAGGCCGCGAGTCACGATCCAGAAGAAGCCAGGGAAGAGAAGAACCGACGACGTCACCTTCAAATAAGAGCAGTGTTCATATTGAAACCATAAAATTGCCCTTAAAAGAAGGCTTAAGTTTTCAAATTCGCGGTCGAATAAAACATGACGCTATCAGGTAGCGAAGATGAATTTTTCAACATTTTGCGTATAATAGTTTCTTGGATTTTGTTTAGTTTTATTATTGACTTCCCAGTCGATAATAAAGATGGGGATATTGCTTTACGTATAGTCGGGGACGTGCATGGAAATTTAGTGTCGCGCTTGTCCCGAAGAAAGCACGAATGGAGCGAGCGCGAAACTTTATCAAAATCGCGCTATAAGTTGGCACCAGGGAAAAATTTCATGATAGAGGTCTTAACGTTAGAAGACAATTTTAAAGTTGCCGTTAATGGTTTTCATACTTCAAGTTTTTACCACGACTTTCGATTAAAAGATGTTAAAATGTTGGATGTTCAAGGTGACGTTAGCGATATTACCGTTGAGCAGAAGTTTGTTCAACAGTATCCAAAACGTACAGCCAGATCTTTACACTTCGAGCATTTGTCCAAACGTGAAGAGTACCCAGATCGATCTGAGTCATCAGACATTGATGAATTCGAGGAGCCGTCAGACACCAATATGATATCATCCGCTCAGGAATGCTCAATCGAAAAATATCTTCCCGTTCCCTACTATGCGAGCTTCGATAAGAAATTTTTTGCGCACGGTTTCCGGGCAACGATAACTGGTCGTGCCCGTAGGATCGATTCATATTTTGCGGTTGTCTTTCAAACGGGCACACAAGACTGGCCATACCCGGAATGGTGTTTCCGAGTTATGTTTCAATATTACTGCAGTCAATGTGGCACAAGTGCTCCCGTCGATGTCGATGAAGACGAGGAGCCTGTGGATGTACAGATTAACTCTGAAATTCGCCTAACCATAAAACGGGGACGCGATGACTATCGGAGTACCTTCAATGGAAGATCATTGCGGTCAAGGCCTTTCAAGTCGGATCCTGAGTCCGTTGATACAATTTTAATCTTTGGTGACATTCGTTTACTGGATCTTGAAATTGAAGATTAATAGAGACTTTTAATACTCTTTTTCTAAGAATTGTTAAATATCCCTTCAAAAAAAAAAAATACAGAGAGTCAAGAGCGATATAAATATAAAAAAACAAGTAAGAAATTTATATTCGGTCGTGACCGAATCTTTTATATCAATCGCCGTTATTTTAAAAATGATTTAAGAAAGGAAAAAAATTAAATTATCATATCCATTAATATAGGCCGGGAGCGGCCGATATTTTGTGTTGTAGGGAGATTTTTTCTAAGTGGAAAAATTTATATGGTGTACGCGCTGGGCTTTAGGAGCATTAAGCAAACAAAATTGAAACCTAAAAAAGATTGAAAAAAAAATTTAAATTTTGATACACTATAACCTTGGATAAGTGTAGTCAATTTTTTCCATTTTGTTAGGTGCTACAGCATCGTCCATAGAATATGCGTTCCAGCTTATGTAGGTTTATCTACTGTACTTTATGGGTAATAAGCAAAAAACCAATATTCTATTCCTTTTGAAAACTGTATGCACTTAGTTTACATATTACATCAGGTGGGCCCTTTGACCGCTTTGACGCATTTCCAAAACCATCCTGTGTGCAAGAGCTACCAAACTTGAAGCCGATAGCTTCATTTTTTCGGTCAGAAGTATGTCTTTAGCAGACGTTACACGGACGGACAGACGGACAGACGGACCTGCTTAAATCGATTCAAAATTTGATGCTGATTAAGAATACAGACACTGTGTGGGATCTCTGATGCATACTTCGGGGCTCTGTAAACGTATTGAAAAGGTGAAAAGAGAAGTATTTTTGATTAACTAAAAGAAAGCTATCTCATAACTTCTCTTTCTCTCTTCTGATATTTTTCGTTTTTAAATACTTCAAACATTCAAAATCAGCTAAATTACTTCAATTTCGCTCGACATTTAAAAATTTGATAATTGTAAAATAGAAATTTAATATAATTTTAAATAATATATCGTTTGCAAAACGAGTAAATTTTGTGTAAAAATTACGTAAAACAAAATCTGTTGGTAGTTGGAACGTTTTGTGTCTTACTGTGAAAAAAAAAAGTTGAAAAAATATCTTGAAAACGGGCATTATGTTCTCGATAATTCACGGTACAGTTAAACTCTGTGATACACTTAAGGGGCGTAATCTGCTACCAGAAAATAGTATAGACAATTTTTATTTAGAGGAAACCTATGTAAAGCCGGTTTATGAGACAGATGAGCTTCGACATTTATCAGAAGGCCTATCTTTCACAATAATGGGCAAAGCGCTTCCAAAAGCGGAAGGGTATAATTTAAGACCCGCTTGGAGAAATCTTATCTAATTAATGTATATATGTGTTCTCTGTTCTCTGCTCTAGATTCGCTGTAGATTTTCGACGAGAAAATCTGGAAAGAGACATCGCTTTGCGAGTGACGGTGCTGGCAAATCGCAACTTAATAGCACGTAATTCTAGAAAGAGCTTAATATGGGGAGTTGATGAGCTTGACACGGAATTAGCATTTAAACTTCAACCGGGAAAATATATACAACTACAAATCCTAGTCACCAATGAAGCCTTCATGATAGCCCTTAATGGTTTCCATATAGCAAAGTATACGCATCGTATGTCTTTGGAAAATATAGACAAGTTCCTAGTTCATGGATGTGTGGCTAATGTTAATGTGGAACAAAAATTCGTCGACATTTATCCGCAAAGTCCTGACAAAACGCTGCACATGGAACGCGTGTCGGCTCGTGCTTTGGATAGAGAAGACGATGACGTAATCACTGTCGATGATGATGATGATGTCTTTGACACTTTGACTATATGTCCGGGTGAATTTGAAGAGGAAAAATACTTACCTTTGCCATATTATGCAACTTTCGATTCAGGTTTCTTTCGCATACGCTATAGTATTTTTATAAAGGGTCGCGTTCGAAGTCGCCCGAAACAATTGACAATAAATTTGCAAGCAGGTGCCCGAGTTTGGCCACCGCCGACAGTAATTTTGAGTTTACAACTGATTTTCCAAAATATCGATGAAGCGAAAAATGAAGGCTCAGCTCAACACGATGACGTGGAGTTGTCTTCGTTAGTAACTACTAATCTGCAGCCGGGGTCGAATTTCGAGTTAGAAATTGTGCGGAAGCTGAAATGTTTTGAAATTTTTTTAAATGAACAACCTGTGAAGAAGTCTGCATATACGTTAAGCCCGAAGCAAATTGATACGATTTATGTTTATGGTGATATAAAGCTGTTTGATATTGAAATTGTTAGTGATTAAAAAATTTTATCTCTGTACGCAGAAAAAAATAAGAAAATAAACAAAAAGGAAGCTTAGCCAAGCTAAGAAATAAATACCTAGACTTACCAATATTTTGCGAAAAAGAACGAGTTCCCATTAAGGATTCATTCAGGTTCTTGCGATACTTTTAACCGTTTGAGTACCAAGCAGCGCGATCGCGCTATTCAGATTTCATGTCGAGAAATACCAGACAGTTTTGATAAAACACTGTCGAAGAATCCCAAGCAGCGCAATCGCGCTGTTTAGGTTTGATGTCGAGAAATACCAAGCGGCGCCATAGCGCTTGCTTAATTTTATGTATTTAAATGCATTTAAATTGTTTGTTAATAAATATTTCAAATTTGTTCCACAAAAATTATAGAAAACACAACACTAAAATAGAAATTTTTATTTTGTGGTATATTATTGCACTACTGTAGTGCTATTGTAATTGTATTGCGCTCGACTTCGACAATACGTAAGGCGCCGTCAGTTGTCGACAATGCTCGAAATGTGCTTGGTTTTCTCGACATAAAATCTAAACAGCGCGATAGCGCTGCTTGGGATTTTTCGACAGTGTTTTTTCAAAACCGTCTGGTACTCAAACGGTTAAATAGACAGCTGCTTCCTCCCATCGCATTATCAATGGGTGAATTTCAAATTATGATCAGATAAATTGAAAAATTACACATCGACGTGTTAGAAGCATTAAACAAACGGTTCAAAGACCTTCCTTGCAATACTTTTTCCACTACACTTTTAAATTTAAACTGAACGAAAGTGATCGCCATAGCTGAACACTGCATTTCTTCAAACAGCTGCATTTCTCTGCCAGACATTCATATACAGCCTTAATACTTATTTGCTTCAAATTGATGGGACTTCAAATATATTTCAACATTCAAAGTAAAATGTTGCAAGTAGGCCGACTAAGAAGTTCGTGGAATGGTATGTTCCCTTAAAACTTTAACTTCGTTCTTTACATAGACACATGGGAAGTTCAAAGGCGATTTCTCCTCTCATTAGCAATGTCGTGAAAAAACCTTTTTAGCCTTTAAAGCAAGTAAAAACATTGCAATGGGCAAAGCTGGACTATTAGACACCATACGCCAATTCACCTCATACTGCTATTCACTCGCTTTGATAAAAATACACAAAAGTTACACATTGTTCGCATGGAAAGGCATACTTTTCCTGAAAGCATGAACATTGGAGGAATCCTTACATGCGTAGATATCCAAAAAATTGGCTTATGTGGTCCAAATTTGGTAAGCCTGATTTCTACGTCTTTTTATACCCTCCAATGAGGGTGTGGATGTTTTGTTTTTTTTTCCATAAATGTATGTAACAACCAAAAGGAAACTTCAGAGACTCTATAAAATATAAGTATTCCTGATCAGAAATTGATCGGAATTGTGAACTGATTCAGCTATGTCTGTCCGTCTACGGGTCTGTGTGGTGTTTGTTGCTGGCACTCGCCCTGCCACAAAAATCTAGACATCCGCTTCAAATTCGATAGAAACATTGGAAGATTTCCCGCGCAGCTTGGTATTGAAAACGGTTCAAATTGGTCGAAGGATACGCCTACAATGCCACATAAACACTTTTTCACAAGTAAAACAATATTAAAAAGTAACACAGAATGTGGGTGTACATATAATCCACAGCGATTTAGGCGAAACTGTAGTCCCCGTATAACAATAGGGAAAATTTAAAGGAACCACTCTCTCGCATTAGGCAACAAGAGCAACAAGATGTGTTAATAGAATGAACCGAGCTGTGTAATGTGTGTGCATTATGTAAAAGGATAAGCGAGTAATACAACCTACAGGGGGACTTTTAATTATGGTGATCGACTCAAATTCATATTCAGAATTAGTCAAAAGTGGTTTTGCGGCCATTCGTCTCTGCATCTGAAGACTGTCGATGTATGCTTATATTCAACCTACAAGTCGGAATTTTTGTGTGGTTTTTGTAAGGGAAGTAATCTAGTGTAATGGTAGGCTCTGACCGACAGTATATTTTTTGCCTATTAAATGACAAAAACAAACTTATGTAGTAACTAGATGGAGAAATGCAATAAATCAGAAGAAATTTTCAACTCGTTCAGCTGTTAAATTGATTGTAGCTTTTGATTCGTTTTAACGCTGAATGAAGCTCACTGTTTTTTTTTAATTTTGGAAATTTCGCTACTCAACGTCCAAAAGCGCGTATTATTGGAGTAATTATGTGAAAAAGGGTTTTTTTTTTGTAATTTTGCGATGGAATATACTTTTTTTTTTTACTTTCTAGGGGACTGTCACAGACATGTCTTCGGCAGATGAATTTGGATGTGAGCGATGTAAAGCTTGGTGAATGTGGATAACTTTCGAATTATCTAATCAGTCAACAATTTCCTAATTTTTTAATTATAATTGCAGTTCCAAAGAATGCTCGGATTGCTTGATAAGCGTAACGAAAGATTTACTAAGTGGATTTAAGCGCCTTTTGGAAGAGAATAAAGAACTTAAGCAACTAAATAAGGATTTGTGGTTGCTCCTCGAGACGAAAGAGAAGGAAATTTCGGCACTAAAGAAAACAATAGAAAGTATAGAAAAGAAAATAAGAGAAATGCAACTCAAGTGAATGGTCCGAACCTTTAATAAAGAAAAGACAGAAGACAGTTGCTCTTGCACTTAGTCTGCGTTCTCTTAAATGTTTTCCCAATTTTTTTTGTATTGTGAGCGTGCGAGTAATAAGATCACACCCATCTGGCCACCTTAGACTCTTAATCGACCAGAAATTACTTTCGCAAATTTCAGCTGACAATCTTCATTTCTGCAAACTGCGGCAGATGGCTGTGGATAAATATATGTCAGCAACATCTCAAAATCTACATCATGTAGAAAAAGATTATATTTCCATAGAAATAGATTATATTTACATATGTGTATATAAGTCACCGAAAAGTGTTGGGACACCTTACTAACATTTTTTTGGATCTCAAAATTTGGAGAAGTTCACATTGGTCCACGTGGTAGTTCTAATGTTAAATTGTACCCGCATCTACTACCATGGTGCAGTATGTGCTTTGTGTCTCTTCCTCTTCTCCTTAAACTTAACATATTACGGACGCATTCACTTTCCCTCCCTCGTCTGAATGAAGCAAGCATATAAATGAAACATACAGTTACGATGTTACGGGAGTTCTAAACGTATATTTGGTATTTAAATATATTGTCTTGGTTGATTTATTCTAATCGTAATTAAATAAAAAAAAAAAATAAAAAAAAATTAAAAAAGGTCAACAAAATATGAAAATATAAATATGTACAATTATTTATCCATTCCTTTTCTACAAATTTATTAGCGAAAAAGTTTGTAATGTAAAAAAATATTTTATTAAAACACTTTACGTCTGGTAGTATCGTAGGCATCACTTAAATATATGGAATTGTCGTAGAAGTTGCTGCTTAATTCTTTCCTCTCCTCGCTTCAATTCGAATATTCAACGTCTTCTAACGTTTTGTCCTTTAAAGTAAATAACTGTGAAGCAAGAGAAAATAATACGAAAATCAATGGTGTTGTTAAATATTATTACCTTTCCTTTTTCTATTTTACCGTTTTCGTTAAGGGTTAAAAACGTTGCGAAACTCGGTCATCCGATTACTCGTCTATCGTATTTTCGCTCTGAAGGATTTGTGTTTGCGAAAGCGATTTTGCGTGCCGGTTTTATAGCTTCAAACGAAAGCTCATTAGCTAACATCACATCCCATAGCTTAATGTCACCCTGTATATAGACTGTATCAATCACATGTGGACCGACACGATATTTAAATTCAGTTATGAAGCGATGATTTAGATAAATTTGAAATGACGCTTGTGTGCTAACTATGCACATACTAAAAGCTTTGCCGGGACGAAATTCGGTATCGATATCGGAACGATCCTCCAAACCCCAAGAACCTTCCATCCACGCATTACGCACCAAAGTCGTACGTCCAACAATTCCTCCATGTTGCTTGGCAAAGCGTGGATTTAAGTGAAACGCCACCGTGGGATGAGGCCAGACATCACAGCCACTTTGCAAATTAACATAGAATGAGTGGGGCAGCAATTTTATTCTTCCCTCGATTTTTAAGACTCGCCCTAATGTAAAGCCACCCTTCGGAAGTATTCCGTAAAAGGGTAAAGGTATTTCGCTTTCCTCACTTTTATCTCGTATCAATGCTAAAGTTACACGTGTTGGCATCGATATTCTACGCCATTGTCTTGGCACTTTAATTGTGTCGCCGTCTCCTTCGTCAAAATTACCCTGGTAGATCGATTTTAAAGGCAGTCCAAGTTTTATCACCGCCGGCTTGGTTTGAGGTAATCGATCCGGATAGTTTCGTACTTCCATACGCTCCACTCTAATGTCGTCTATGTCACCCTTCACTTCAAGCGTTCCAACATCACGATACGGCAGGCGGTGAGGGAATTTGCAAAAATGATACCCGTTCACGCTGATCATATAACAAACTTCCGTGAAAAGAATTTGTATTGAAAATTTACGATCACGTTTCAGGTTAAAAGGTAAAGGGGAGGCTTTTTCCTCATCGCCCCAAATGCCGTGGACTTTTGAATTTCGTACAATATAACCTTGAGGTAAACGCGGATTAATGTGCAACGCAATATCTCGGCTGCTATTCTCAATAACTAAATTTATAGAAAATCTTTAAAGGAAAACAGATGACAAATTTTATTGGTTGCATATATTCGTCAGTTCATTTCGTTTGCTCACCTTTCGCAATAGGGTTTTGTAACACCATTCACCGTTAAGCTGACTCCCTCGCGCAGACGTATCAAACGGGGATTGTAATAGACTAGCTCTTCCTTGCCATCACTAAGCACGCTCGTCTAAGGAAATGAAAACCAAAGAAGAAACAAAATCATATTTCCGTAAACGATATGGATAACATACATATTCGTACTTTAATTCCTTTTCTACCGAAACACCAACACATTATCTTCTTCTTTCCAATATTTTTCCATTAACTTAAAAGAAACTCTTCCAATTTCGAATTTGCACTTTTTTTTTTGTCTTTTTCTTAAATTATTTTTATGATATTGAGAATGCAAACAGTACCTCTTCGCTAACATTCAATTGGAAATTGTCACAGTCAATGGTGGTCACTTTTACGTGCTCCAAATTAATCAGCATTATTAAGGCGTTTAGCGCTCTACTTAGTATACGTAGTCAAAATACAAGAATTTTTTTAAAAATTTAACATTTCCCTGAAATATTTAATAAATATTGAAAAGAAAATTATCTACAGAAAAGAATTTGAAAACAGATTTAGAAAAGGTTTTCCAATGTTCGCAATTATAAGGTGATGTATACGCCTCTTTTATCCGAGTTGCAACTTGCTTAATAGGGCTTCAAAGTTCAAAGCGAAGATAATACCAGCAAGGTGAACACAGCCACAACGTGATTTGCGAGCGAGATCGCAGAGTAATATTCCCAGTTGACGTTTCTAATCGCTAATGTGAGTAAAGGGAAAAAGGGAAACCTATGTTCTAGTTATGTGTTCTGAATAGATTGTTAGTCGAGCTACTTTTCATATAGCAAGATCTTCCCGCCTCTTTTGGAGGCATTTTTTTTTTTTTTTTTGTTATTAATATAACGAATCTTTACAAGCAAATTATGGAACTGATCGAAAAAAGTAGCATGTAATCCTTTGGCGAAAAAGTAATATGAATATTCACGTTAAATCGCGCGGGTAGAAAGAATGCCAGGAATATTGTTTTTCTAAATTGGTAACGCTCTGACAGACGTCTTTACCAAATTTCACTTCGTAAACGCTTGTATGATTTTGTTGGGCGAACAAGTTGTACTAAGTTTTGGTTGCGAAATAAAATTTTTTGCGCAAAAACGTTTAGCATATTGCAGAAAACCTTTACTGAGCGCACTTTTTCAGAGAGTAATGTTTTCAAGCGGTGTAAATGATTCAAAGAGGGCCAAGAACGGATTGAAGACGAAGAGAGTCCCTGTCAGTTAATGCGGACGCAAATATGTATGCTCTGTTCTTTTTATACCCGTCCCTGGAGGTGGAGAGGTATATTCATTTTATTGTTCGGAAGCTTCCGAGACTCCCTTACATACATAAATATATATACATTTTTTTTTCTCGATCAGCATTAAATTTTGGATCGTTTTAGACATGCCTCTCTACTCGTTTGTCCATCTGTCCGTCTGCGCAAGCGAAACTCTTCCCTTTCCATATTTTTCGCTCATTACTGCAACACACATCACACAGCAACGGACACACGATATAAATTTCCACTTTTGTTCTACAAAAATTGTGAAAATCAGTCAAGGCCACCCAATCTAGACTATGGAAATTTGGTTTTTTTTTTATTCTCTTTGAAATCTTTTTTAGGAGAAAAGTGACGAATTTAAAAGATTCGATCACAGTCGGATTTATAGGCGTATAATGCATACTTACCAACAATAGATGTTACACAGTCTTACGCTTAAAAACTGAGCAAAAATATTAATAAATTGGATCAGAAAAAGGCTTGACCTCTTGCCAGCCTTGGCCATATAAGTGGACTTTTATGTTTTTTTTTTATGAAACATACTATCATTAGGAAGGAAAATGCGATATTAAATTAATTGTTCTTTCCTCTCCACAAGGTTTACAAAGAAAAAAGAACATAAGCAAAAAAAAATAATGATAATCGTCCCTGAAGAGGTTAAACATTCAAAGTAATGCAAAAATTATTATTTACAACATAAAGTAGGTACTGATCTAAACCTTGACACGAATATTTCAAAGGATGACAAACGAAGTCAATAAAAAAAGTATTCACGATCGGCCAAGTAATACGTGGCCAATAAACAAAATATTTTAGAACTTTTACATATTGATGTGGTTCGTATTTCTTATACCCTACACTACATATGGTGCAAGTTTGTGCGGATGTGCACAACACTCAGAGGCACTTGAGATAGAACCAACTTTTATTGTATTGGTTGCTGTCTGTTGTCGAAATTTTTGAGATATTTTTTTGTGAAATTTGGTTCACCTACACGTTTGGCCCCTAGGACGAACGCTATTAAAAATGATTCGGATTAGATCACTTTTTTGACCATTTCCCCATATAACAACTCATTATTGAAAAATCGTTATACGGTAGCGTAGTGTCGGGTGGGTACTCAATAGTAGGCCTCGGCTTATCTTGACCATACGTGAAAAAAATGTAATTATCTCCCGAACGAGTGAAAAAGGCGCGTCTTTTTAAAACTTACCGTACTTTGATTACCCTGGAATGATCTGCAAGGACAACAGATTCTATTGAATAAGGCCAACATATAGCTTTATTCATGAATAGTATACAGTGTTGTTTTATGCATTTAAAGCACGTTGTGCTATACTATAATAATGTCAAAATTGTTTTAAAGTCATCTAAACATAATGTGTATGACTAAAAGGCGAACTTATAAGGCACGTATTAATTTACGTACTTTCGCTATTTACTGCTTTTCGGTTTGAAATTTAATATCGAGTGGGGTTCTTTTACACTTTTCTTTCACTGTAAATGCTTTTACCACATTTTATTATATAAAAGAAAAGACGCATCGTTTTTTAATTAAAAAGATGAAATTTTGAACAATTAGTGAATAACGATGTTTTTAAATACATCAATACCATTGCAAGCTTTAGTATGTTGTTACTATGAATCACCTAAAGGCCACATAAACAATAAATACGTGCTTTTATATATAAGTTTAAGTTGAATTATTTTAAAGTGTTGAGATTATTGTGCAAATATATTTTCACATCAAAATAATTTATCAGAATATCAGTCCTTTTTTTTATTTAAATTTTTATTATTTTCACTTTAGTTAATAAGAGGAGAATAACAGACGAAATGTTTCTTTTAGTTTTCTTGTTCTTCTTGATATTTATTTTGTTTAACAACGACTTTTGTCCTCTCTTTGGGAAAAGAGATATGCAATAAAATATAAATAATAATAATAATAAGTAAATTTCTTATGTTCAACTAAAGCTGAATGAGACTTAACTGAACTCAAAGCGCTCTTAGTGCTCTCCACAAAAACTTTGCTCACTGAAATATACTGTTAGCGTCGAGCTTTTGCCTCTGTTAATAATTTCAGGAGAAAAACTGATAAAAATAACATTCGGAATAAGTCGATCGCTTTATACCCTTGCATTTCGACGCATATTTCATCAAGCATTTTCAATGTATAAAGTCAGACTATAAAATATTCAAAAACTTCGTTATGCCAATAGTAATAAATTAGCTGAAGAATCGCACGACTTTAAGCGTGAATAGTGCACTGACCGACCATTTTCACGGGCCGATCAATAATAATACTTCGTCAGTACTAATACCCAATACTTCAATATAGTGGACTATGTCAGGATATTTTTAACGTAAAGGGCGATTAGTCTGTAGAGTCTTTTCAGGTAATCTAATCCAGAGCAGAAACAACATCTTCATTAGTTGTGTATTCCATATAAGGTTGATTCCGACCGTGCTAGCGTAACGATTTCTATTGTTAACATTGAGATGGTTTCGGTTGCACTTCCCTTAATAACCCATTCCTGCTAGGCTGGTTACCAGCAAGTACTTAATGAGCGTTATTTTATTTCAGTAATTCCCGCAGCAGCGTGATTTATCTAGTCCAATATCGAAAACTTTTTCCAAACTTCAGTCAAGGTCATTGCATCATTTTCAAATTTTCTAAATGTTGACTTTACTTAGTATTTCTTAAAAGCTGCGATTATGCCTTTGTTTGATAACATCGTCCAATTTAATCGTAATTTTCATATATCGCACAACCGAGATCGTACTAAAAAAGACAGTGCAAATAACAGCCTACACGGATACTTTTTACCGCACAAATTCAATGGACCTTCGAGAATTAATCTCCTTGTCCTCGCTGTCTTCTGCTATAAGCCATAGTTGTTTTCTATTTTTATACGCATTCTTTTAAATCAAACATCAAAACCCAACCGTTTTTTTTGAACATGTGTGTACATTTTTATACTTTTCTCTCCCATTCAACGTGAGTTGCTAAATTTCGTGGTTTATTTAATTTACTTTCGTCCTGCAACACTTCCGATCTACACAAAAAGTACAGAAATCAACTCATGGATAATATGTTGTCGATTTGGTGACTCGCAGAAGAAGGAGAAGAAAACATAGCACCATACATTTTCCTAAGGTTTCTATTACATCCCTGAATGTTGGAAATTTCATATATCGGGTAGCGGGTATTTTCATTATTATAATTCAGCTACCGCCCGATAAAACAGCTGTTTGTTGTTTACATTTTTGCTTCTAGAGAAAGTTGGATTTCCATATTTTAAATTAAAAAAAAAAAAAAAAAACCCTCTCGCATATTTGTGCTCTCACTGTTGCTCTCTATTAAAAACTTTGTAGATAAGAATGCAAGATTACATTTTTTTAACAGGTTGCTTTCCTCGCGTATTGCCAACATAAAAACTTTTTTAGTAAAATATAATCAGTTAAGCAAAACTTCAATAAATGTGCGGCATTAGGAGAGGCAATACTTTAATGTTGTAAGTCTCGTAATTACAATACGGTCAAATAAAAGCTTTCGATATTTTTACCTTTTTTTGAGGCTACACCTTATGATTTTCATTTGTTTTACGGAAGACATCGTTATGAAACTATAATTCTCAGGGAATAACGAAATTATAGTGCGCTTAATTAATGAATATTTAGAAAGAAATTCCACATGAAATCATTCGTATGTCCAATAGCTTTCTTGCTGACGTATTTGTATAATAATTATTGTCAGTGTATGAGATGACAAATCTACCACGAGCGAAACGCTAAGATAACAAACAATTAATAAAAACAAAAATGAGATAAATACTACTAAAATATAAAGAAGCGATAAATATGAAATACAAAAATATAATATCGTTGTAATTACAGACATCAAAAGACAATTAATAACAATATACTAAATAGAGAAAACTACATTCCCCATCTATCCCATAAAACCGGTTTTGCATTGAGAGAGAGAGAAAGGTTACATAATGGGAACCTTTTTCTATTGATTGGTCATCTATATAACTCGGATAAATTTCTAATTCCAAATTTCAAATGTTTTCATTCTAAGTCCTAAGTTTTTTAACTTAAGAAAGTAAATTGGTTTAAAAATAATTGGTGCATTTTAGTGTTCTTGTGTTGTTTTCGCCTTCTTGAGATACACCGATGATAAAGAGAGAGACACAAAGAGTACCGACAACAACAAACGAATCAATAATGTATACACTTTGTACGACTCTTATATGTATGTAATTGTGCATGATGGAAACGAGCTGACAAACAAAGCCGATGCAGCACTATTTGCATTTTCGCATGATTGGATTTTAAAAATAAGTTTATCCACTTCAAGTATAACTATTTAATTAAGTCATGTAAAACTAAAGATATTTACACATTCGTCCAAAGAATGTACGTCGATATTCTCGAAATCCAGCTCTGGAAAGGTTTCAAAATTGCCGTCACCGTCATCCATGCCAAACGAATCGGTGCATTCGAAGCCTTCTTCAATCATGTCGCTGTCATCAAAATCGATGCTCGAACGTTGCATGATTTTTCTTAAATTAATATACGACTTTTGTTCGGAAAATTTTTGCACTTGTTTTTGTCTTCGATACCGATAGATTTCTTTGCATTTATTAATCCAATATTGCCGACAATAATATCGGAATAATTGCAATCGCTTTTTATGTTTTAAATAACATAAACTTCTTTCTACATTGTAACCGCAACGCACAAAAGCAGTAGTGAATTCGTACAAGTCATAGAACGAACTACTTACGTAGAAGAATAGAGCAGACATTGTGCGGCGAATATAAGAAAATGCTCAACAAATATGGAAAAATTTTCATATGGAGCACATATGCATGTGAACCCTAAAACAACGTCTCTTTTTCTTTTTTAACTTTTGTTTCTTAACTCACTCATTCTATGACTACAATATGTTTACTTTTAACCACCTGACACCCTTCGCAATTATTTTTAGCAATTTCTTAACTGGACAGTCTTACAGCCGAAAGTTAATTTACTAGCGGCCTTTGAATTGATTTATTTATATATTTTTTTCATTTCACCTCTCGCACTATTACGCTTTGACCACATACGTTTTACTGAAGCAAGCATATTCGCAACTCGCAAAAATCGTGTAAAATGTATGTGTTCCATTTATATTTATTTCTCTCTTACTTTTAGTATATTTTCAGTGCGCAGCATTAAAAACAAATTGCATAATTTGACGTTACTTTTATAGCAAACGATCTGATTTATAGTTGAAGACTTTAGACTTGTAGTAAACTGTAATAATACTTTCGAACCGTGCCTCTGCTTCGGCCAACTCAAGAACAAACGCAAATATCTAGAACCCACGTGGTAAACTTTCCCTCCCTACCGTTGTCCTGATCTATTCAGGCTACTATGAAGCTTCCGGAGAAAATTGAAGTGTTCGGTAAGCTAGATTTTATTACTGTCAATGAACGCTATTAACTCTTTGAATTATACGGTATTCTTTTGCTATCAACTGGCTAGCTAATGCTGACGCACGACTAGTCAAACCGAACATGAAATTTTAGTTGACATGATAGCCATTTTAAAACCCGACTTCCTTGAATGTAATGAAATTACACAACTTTTCCCAGAACCGCCGAGCAGAAGGCTTTATTACTGTTTTCTCATTTGCGAAGCTTCTACATTACTTTCTTGTGCTAAGAGCTAACATATATGAGCCATTGGGCATAAGAAATGAGCTGCAGTGCCTTTGTCTCTTCATAAGCCAGATTGCAAAGCGATAGTAGTGATTACTTGTGACACTGGCTTTTAAGCGAAGCTTAAAATGATCCGAGACATTGGTTTAACAGCATTACCTTGACATCTTCTCAGTTGATAGTTGGAGTTAGTAGTTGACGATGTATTAGCTTCCTTCAGCCTAGGTGTGCGTATTGATATTAAAACGGAAAAGTGAAATTGCGTTTCATGGACCAGTTTGATTGAATATTTGCCTTATCCGGTTACAGTAGCTATAAAAGCACTTCATTAAACCGGGCACTTTAAATAATTACACCCTACACCACTTCTAGCACTAGGGTGTATCAAGTTTGTGCGCACGTACGTAATGTAAGGTTAGTCCATATTTTATTATATATTTTTTATATACCGATCCATTCAGAGTCGTTTACTGAATCGATATAAACTTGTCTGTCCGTCTGTCCGCCTTTTTCACGTCTATTTTATAGACAGTAATTTTTGGGATAACTTGATGAAAATTTGATACACTGGCATAAAAAGAGAACTTGAGATAGACCCACCTTTTATTGTATCGGTCCGAGTCACTTTATGAATCGATATAAGTTTGTCTGCCTGTCTTCCAGCTTTGTTTTCTTGGGTTCAATGCATAGATTGCAATTTTTGAGGAATTTTAATGAATTTTGGACCCAAGGACGTACGCTATTAGAGACGATCCTGATCAGACCACATTCTCGGCCACTTCCCAAATAGTGCCTCATTTGGGAAAGTCGTTATATGAATAACTGTATTAAGCGAATTGATGCAGAGCATTCAATGTTGGGCCGTAACCCACTACTGTCTTTTTACTTGTTAGAATAATTGAGGAGTGATTTCAAAGGGTTTGACAATAATTATGTAAAATCAACGTCTATAAGTGTATGCATCTATCAATTTATCCATAATACATTTAGGATCAGTCCTTCCTTCTAAAGGGAATTAATATATAAAGCTTAGATTAGAGTAGAAACAATCGCAATCGTAATAATTTGTTCATTTACTAATTTTTGTTTATTGTCACTTGCTTTATTGTTGTAATAGTTTGATTCCGATATCAGTTAAATTGCAACACAAGATCGTTAAGTCTTGTACACGACACGAAAAGAAATGTGTTGCGACATGAGATGTTCGTATGATGCTACTCAGAGTAGGGCTATAAGTCTTCTATGTCCTTCCAAGGAGGGTCTTAGGAGGGCGTATATATAAAGGGGTTGTAAAATAGGAATTTTATAGAACAATCTCTCTCTCCCTCTCTCTTTTTTTTTTAACAATTATAATAAATTTTTAAGTTTTTATTTTTGATTTGATATCAGAAACAAAAAAAATGTTTATTAAACATTATGCGTATTTTATATGCATAGAGGAGAACAAATTCGTTGAATACAAGCTTTTTGTTATTTTCCTTTTTCACGTATCGTTTTCATTAATAATTTCCTGAAGTTATTTGCTTTTTGCATCTTTTCGATTTATAAATCGGATATTTGAAGCTATCACGCTCCATTTGGTTCTTCGGGGCAAATAAGATTCCGTGACTAGCATAACATTCCACAGTTTAATGTCGCCTTGTATATAGACGGTGTCAAGCAAGGTAGGATCAATAGCATTAGCGTTTTTCAGTAACACACGATGGTTCACGTGAACTTTCATATATGTGTGCGTGCAAGATATCAACATTGTAAAAGCTTTACCTGGGCGGAATTCAGTATCGACATCAAAACGATGACCTCTACCCCAGGCTCCATTTGAGTACACATTGCGCACAACTATAGTTCGACCAACGTTTCCGGCAAGTTGTTTGTTAAAGCGTACATTGATGTGTAACCCTACCGTGGGTGGCGGCCAGACTTTGCAACCAATTTGTATATTGACAAAAAACGATTGCGGCAGTAGCTTTATTCGCCCATCGATTTTTAAAATGCGTCCTACTTGCAAAATGCCACTCGGAAATGTCCCATAATATGGCAAAGGAATTTCATTTTTCGTCATCATTCCAAGAGTTAAACGTGTTGGCATTAATATCTGGCGCAGCTCTTTCACATAAGTGTCGTCTCCGTCCTCGAAATTTCTGTCAAAATCGCTTAGCGACTTTAACGGTATTGGTGAGGGCACAGTATGAGGCAGGCGTTCAGGATAGCTGTCTACCATAACACGTTCTACTTTAATACGATCTGCATGGCCTCTTATTTCGATGGTTCGTATCTCGCAATAAGGTAAGCGATGCGCGTATCTGCAAAAATGACAGCCATTCACGCTGATGAGAACGTGCGCGTTCGTGAAGAGAATTTGTATGGTAAAGGCGTGGCCACGTTTCAACTTGAAGGGGAGAGCAGACGCTTCCTCCTCGACTCCCCAAACAGATTCAATTTTGGTATTGCGTACAATATAATTTTGAGGCAGTCGGGGACTAATATGCAAAGCAATATCTCGAGTAAGATTCTCGATAATGAAATTTATACAAAATCTTTAAGGAAAAATTTTCAAAAATTACAAATTGAATGAACGTTTTCATTAAGCCATTTCTCCTAGTTACCCTTGACAATAGCTTTTCGTATAACCTTTTACTGTGAAACTACTTCCTTCCCTTAAACGCATCAAATGTTGATTGCGATAGATTAACTCCTGCACGTCATCACTACGCCAGCACAACTTACCCAGAATGAAAAAGGAAAGAACGAAATTTAAATTTGCCGTTATCAACAGATTCGTAACAGATTCGTACATCTATTGGTTTTCTGTGAAATATTGTTATTAAACGCAAAAACAATTGCCAGCACATAATTGCTTCTTAACTTTTTTTCTCATTGAATCGAATTTTGAATTTCGTTTAAAGCAAATTTTTGTTTAATTTTTCCCTAACACAAAATAACGTTTAGCACTTGCCGATTGGTAATATTGAAGTAAATGGAATCGAAGGAAGAAAATCGAAATAAAATTTATTAACTTTTCGAGTGTGTTTTTAATCACAAGGTAATGTATCTATTATTATTATTGCGTGCGAGATTTCGACAATTTGACCCAATAGTTGTAAAAGTCATGAAAACCTCACACAGTTTCTCGTAAATTAACCAAACTATCATTGTACCCTACATCACTTCTGGTGCAGGAAATATTGAGTTTGTGCAAAGGCATACAAAACCTAGAATGGCGTAATATAGACCCACCCTTTAATATACCGATCGATGCAAGCTTGTCTGATGTCTGTCCATGTAATTTGTTGTTCAACCCACAGGCAGCAAAGTTTAAGATATTTTAATGAAATTTAGTACATGTACGTCTTTTGATCCAAGGACGAGACCTATTGAAAATGATTTGGATCGGCCCACTTTTCCGACCGCTCCCCATAAAATAGAGAGTTCTTTTTCCAAAATTTTTCGACAGAATTTGCTGTGTAGTAGTATTTAGTTGTTTCTAAATTTATTAGAAAAGTTTGGTTTAGATGAGGCAAATTTTTGAACGCTATCTCATATAAACCTTCCTACGAAAACTAAATCTTTATAAAGTAACAAATTCTAATTTTTAATATTTCATAAGGAAAATTGGTTCACATTAATAATTTGACAAAAGCAACCTTACCACATTTGGTCCACGTATGTCTATTTTTGGTATACCATCGCATATCAGGGTTCTCAGGAAATGTAAACTCTTATAAGACAAAAAGGCATAATTGTTAATACTTTGTAGTGAAAATTTCCTCATGACAGTAAATTGGCATAATTGCACCAAAATTCAACCACATGGGTCAATTTTTTTGACCCATTTAAGACGTTCAAAAAAAGGTTTAATTTTTAATATTTTATAATGAAAATTAGTCCGTACCAAAAAAATTAATAATAAGGAGTTTGCATCACCTAACTCGATTTTTTAGCTTCTAACATATGTAAGGGTTATCAAGGAAGTGGAGAGAAACCACAATTTCTACTTTTCTATAACGTAAACCGGAAAATAATAACAATTTTGGGAAGCAAACTAAATTTGCTAACTGTAGATAACGTCGTGTGATGGTTTCAATATCCTTCAATAAGTGAGTTATCATGAAAAGTATGCCTCTGCATGAAAGTAATGCGCAATTTTTGATGTATTATTACCAAAACAGGCGAATAATTGTACTGGGAAATTCGTATAGAGTATCGCATGGTCGGCATTATTCGACTATAATATTCTTAATTGTTTTTATTTATCTTTTATATTTTATGCAATATCTAAAATACTGTCCATCTCTAGGCACAACTCATTTCCACATTTTCGAAAATTAATCGATCAACTTTTGAGGAATCGAAACAAGAGTTCATATATAAAAAGTAACTAAATCAAAATGACCCCATCTAGACAGAACAGCGCTTGTGATGAATCGTTTCGCCTTCAAATTTTTTTACTTCATTTAGTATCCATGATTGTAAATCGCTTCATTGTGAACATCGAATCGATGGAATGATTCCAAAATAGGAAAGTGGCATCGGGTGAAAGAAGCCACAAATCGGTGTTGACATACCTAAGAAATCGTTAAATTCAGTTCATCACACAAGCTTCACTTGCTGCAGTTCCGACTCGAACGTACATTCTGATACATATTTGCATGATATCCCTGAACAAGACAACAAAAGAAAGACTTAGAAACTGGATGCTGCTATCGACAGACGCTACAGGTTAAAAAAACTGAAGTACTACATGTGAAAGTTTGAAGGTATGGTCAAATCTTCCTTTCTAGGCAGGATGAGACCTCCGTGCATCTCTGATTGTTCAACGTCCCCACAATTGAACGGAATCCTGCTTGGGCAAAGTCATTCCTATGGATCTAATAGCTTTTAGACTATAATGCATTAGGATTTTTGATATTACGCTCGTCATCATTATGCGTACTCTTGCTTTCGGATTCTTGAATTGCCATCCAACTTCTTCCCTATGGATTTTAATATACAAGGTGCAGATATCGAGCCAACATAGTCAGGCATCAACTCGCATTCCGACTTGTCTGGCCCCGTCAGTGAAGCGCCGACCTGTTTGCTAAACATTGAGTATGTATAGTAAGTGGATTCTTAGTAGAGAAATCTGCAGGCAGATAACTCTTGACTCTCGATGACCTCTCGATGGGAGAGTTGCCGTTGCTGGATCGGCAGAGGCTAAAGCTGAAAATCAACTTTTAAGCCAGAAATACCCTACGGCCGGAAACTTCGCAGTTTAAAACTACTAGCTTTCTTTGTATATAAGCAACACTCAGAGAATGTCTCTTGTTGTTGTCATCCGGTGACTATCGGAAAAAAAGTGAGAAAAGAGAAAGAAATAAGGAAGCGACCGCAGCGGAGTGGTTGTCTGCCCAAACGGTAAGTGTTGTCTGTTTACTGACTAAGCAACGACTACGACCGAAGTAAAGTCTACCGCATTGGGGGTTGAACCCGCGAACACAAAGAATTGTTTCATGTTTTCTTCTACTCAGAAAGTAAAGAGAATGTGTCATCATTTTTCGTTGTAAATGAGGAAATTCCGTTATAGGAAAAAATGTTCGATTAATTAACATGTTACGATTCCGAAATTTTTTCTCAAATTTCATATGAGAAGCACTTTTCACATTTATGTCTTCTCCTATATCATAGGATCGCGGAAAAATGAAGAGAAAATTTACAGCTTCTTGCAGTGCAGAATACTATGACTGGTCGCGTCGCGATGCAGCTTTTCACATCAAAAGTGAATACTTCAAACAAGAAGGGACCTCTATGGGGAATGATTTTCATTCTCACATATCCCATTATTTGCTTAATAAAAATATATTGTAAGAGCAGATTTTTGAGAAAAGAAAATAAAAAATTTATTTCATTATATAATTCATACATTTTACAATGCGTATATATGTACACAAATTTAACAATATTTCACAAATATTTATAAGACTTAATTTTAAATGAAAATTCAGCAGAAAATTAATTTTATTAATATTCAGTAAAGTAAAACCAAAAATTGTGAGAATATCTTAATTATTTTAAAAGTAATTTAAATAGAAATATTAAATTCATATATTATTCTAATGCAATTTTTTTCACATTTAGAAGCGAAAAACGATTAGCCAAAGTAAACAACTTAAATTTGTGAAAAGATGAAAAAATCTTTAAAAAAATTAGTTATATATACAGAAAAAGAAATTTTTCTTTTTCGCTAATATATCAGAAAATATTAAAATTAAGAAGAAAAAAAGACTTTCGGTGCTTGGATTATATAGAGCAAGAAGAGAGGCAGAGACTTACTATTTTACATTAATACATCTTAAGACTTGGAATATTTTCTGTAAAAGAATGCACAAGAATGCCGTTAAGAAAGAAAAGATATGTCACGTCACTTATTCTAGAGGAGGGAATGTGTCGATAACCAATTTACCTATTTCTTGTAGCTCTAGAAGGGAGTGCTCGTCTGTTTGGCTCCACTTTCTCAGGACCTTTATAATATTTCGAGAGTGTTTTACTGTGTCGCGTGGGACGGCCACTGTTAACAAATAGAAAATTTAATCAAAGTTTATTTTGCAAATTAACTATCTTTAGCTTACGTTGCTGTGGCATTCTGATCGTCCGTTTTTTGACTATGTGGCGTTTCGCTTAGATTTAGTTTATCCGTTACTTCCGTCTTTATAGTTCTTTCCACTTCTTTTTCGTTACCAGCAGAAATTGCCGCGTCCCCTTCAACTTCTTTATCAATATTTTTTTTCCGTCCCCTACGCTTAGGGGTAGCAGGTATTTCTTCTTTTGGCCGCAGCACTTCTGTTAATGCTAAGCTGTCACCGATGCTAGCAGGCATGTCTGTATCTGAACTGATGGTTACACTTGCATCTTCCGATTTTCTGAAATTAAAATAATATCATCAGTCTGACATATACGCCGTTGATAAAATGAAAACTCGGTTACTTACTCGTATTCCATTTTTTTATCGGCTGCATCTTCCATGGCAGTAGAGGCATTTTCAGATTTTATTGCTAAATTACTCGAATGCGAGGGCCGACCTCTACCAGACGATTTCTTTTCATGAGTCTTTGCTGCTGCCATCGACCTGCTCTTGTCCATCGATTTGCGCACCATCAGAGTGACTTTATCGATTTGCTCTTCCAAATCAACCAATGAATTATCAGCATGTGGCTTACCTTCTACAATTACCTCCTTTATCAGTGGACGAGCAGCAGTAGAATCAGCGTCTTGTTTTGTTGTAGTTCCAGTAACATCCGCGTTATCACCACCACTTACTTCGTTTTTCAACTGCTGTTGTTGTTCTTGCGCCTGTTTTAGCGATCGCTTCAAGGCGCTGCGTATCTGCTCTATGGATTCCTTGGTAGCAGTTGATGAGGTAGATGTATCCGATGTAGTATGCGGTGGATCGGGCTTATCAGTCACTTTTTGCAGACCAATGGCCTCTAGAAGCTGTTGTCCTAAGCTTGCTTTTGAACTTTGATGTTTTTTGCTTTTTGAGCGACTACTTTCTTGATTGGATAACAATGAAGTGACGCTAGTGGCAGCGGAAGTCTGCGTTCTTAGAGCTTCGGTGGATGTAGACTTTGAAGCATATTGCATTTCTTCGCGTTGATGTTTGGACACTTGCGTTTCGCTATTAACGACATGCGATGTACCCGCTTTCGGGGCTTGTTCTTCCATTGAAGTCTTCTTTTTGTTATTAATTACATCTTGACCCTTCTTATTATCCTCACTGGTTGAGTCTGATTTAGGACGCGGCACGGTTTGTATAACTGTTTTACGTCTTTTGATTATGGGTCGCGTTATGACAGGTGCCAGGTTGATGCTACTTGGCAAAGCAAAAGAGATTTTATCTGTTTGCTGATCTTGCTTTTGCGGTTTGTTAGCAACAAGGGCTTGGGAGTCCGTTGAAGTGCTGTTAGTTGAACTCGTGTTCGCATGTTCCATAAGTACTATATCATCGCCTATATCAATGAGAGCGTCAAATTCATTGACGGGTAAGGTCAATATACTCGAATGGCTGCTATGGCGTCTACGTTGCGCCCTTTGTTGGCGACTTAAAGCGGCTTTTTGTTTTTGCAGCAAAGCCATTAAAGCTTCGGTAGATGCATCTACGCCGGCATTTAATAAAGCGAAATGGTTAACAAAAGTTGACTTCGAATCCACGTTGAGATTAGCCTGGGTTTTCGCAGGCGAAGACCGATGTTTTACGTTTGCTGTTGATTTGAGTTTTTCTTCTACACGCTCGTCTTTAACGTTATTTTCAATGGAGGAGATTGCCAAAGAATCCTTGTCTTTCTCAATAGTAGTCTTTTTAGCTCTCTTCGCTGGAAAATTGGTTGATTTCGAGTCCAACAAAGAAATTCGATCACGTTTAAGCGATAAATTGGTCAGTGAAGAAGTGGTACTTTGTGTACTACTTATATCTTTCCCCTCGTCGGGGCAAGCGGGAACCAATTGTACTGAAGTTTCAGGTGGCAATTTGTACGGGATTGAACTGTTCAAATCAGCTGCGGATATCTCTAGAGGTTTTGCCGCCGGCGGTGGAAGAGCGAACGTTTGTGCTTGTGCAGCTTTCAATAAATTCTGATGCTGTTGTTGGAGAGCTTGCGCAGCTAGTAGAACTGGTGCTAAATATGGCCCCAACAGCTGTGTTAAGTCAGTGTCTTGCAAAAGGTTCGGATCGGACATGATTTCAGTGAATTTTGAATTCCGTAGGCGCTGAATTTGCATTTCTATGGATTGGTGATCAATGGGCCACTTTAACGCTTTCAAAATTAATTTCAGAAGATCTGCATCACGAATAACTCTTCCTAATAGCATATCTTCAGGGAAAACCGGTTTAGTTAGAGATTGCTGATGAGTTGACGGAAGGTCTATAGGTTGAGGTGGTGGTAACATTGCCGGAGTAGGTGCCGAAGATGTACTTTTATTGGATTTATCAGAAGTTCTTTTGCTTCTTGTCGTTTTAATTTTCGGGGCAGCTATAATAATTTTTTCAGGTAGAGATTCTGTAGCAGTATGATTAACTGCTTCATTATTATTATTGATTTGCGGTTTTTGATGCGAAACTTTTAATAGGGATATTTGACCCGTACACGTTTTGATATTGTTTAAGGTTCTCGAAAGATTTTTACGCTTTTGTTGTATGATGTCGGCTGTGGTATTAAGATCGGCCGTATGCTTCGGGGACATGCTTTCCTTGCTTTTGTGATCTTGATTATCACATCCCGAATTAAGACGTGTCCCTAGCGCGTAACTGGCATTATTTTTCACCGGGTTTGCGTCGGCGTTAGTAGTAAAGAAATTTATAACCCCAGAAGGACTTTGCTTTTTGTTGCCAACACTATCGCTCGTATTTGTTTCTCTTTGGTACTGAGTAATACCACTAAAGGATTTCTGCGCTATGGATTTAGGTGTATACCGCGTATCTAAGAGTATGCTGTGTCGCCGTTGTGAATTACTAATAAGCTTTTGCTGATTGTCGCGTGTTAAAGGATCATTAACGGAAACATTAACAACAACATCCTCTTTATTTGTTGAGTGTGATGATGGTGGCGTGGCAGAATTCCTCTTGCTCTGGGATTTAAGTTCGATTTTAGATGGAGTTGGTGCTGGAGGCAAAGATTTATTATAATGAAATCGTGGTTTTTCCTTATTCAGATTTAAATCCAAATTGGTGAACTCCAGACCGCTATTAGACTCCGCGCCAGTAGCAGCAGGTGTACTGACTGTCAGAGCACTGTTGCTGGTAGCAGTTTTTGGCTAAAAATATGTTTGCTAAATATTTTAAGCATTCATCTTAAATGATAAGGAAAAACTTACCAAAGTACTTAATAGAAAATCTTTGAAAACTTGTTGAGTATGCTTGGCAATATTTGAGAGGGCAGCAGTGGCCTCCACCTGACGAAAGCACGTCTTACATAAGACTTTGGGTAAAATATCATGTTCATCAATCTGCAAAGGGATAAAAAAAAAAATTTTAAAAACATGTACACCACAGCAGCAACCGAAAGCGAAAATATCACCCTGTAGGACTGATGCAATCCGAAAGAACAAAATAAATTAATAACAAGCGGAAAAAATTGTATTCGACTGCACCGAATTCCTTGCACTCCCCCCGTCTTTATCGTAACAACAAAATAAAAAGAACAAAAAAACTAAACTTTCCTCCACTCTACACTAATAGGTGGGCGTGGCTGGCTTTTCATGTTTGTAGAATATGCTTTCACATTTTTTATCTTGTGTCTGTTGTAATTTATGAGTAACGAGCGAAAACCAAGAAAGCATTCTTTCGTTCTATGGACGACGAACCGGTTTAATCCCTTCAGACTTCAATGCTGATTAAAGCCGTACGTATATTCTTTAAAATATTTTCGAAAGCTTTCTCTTCCGGATGTTGCAAACACTTTTATAAAATTATTATACACCTATATGCCCCGGAGGTGGGTTCAATAAAAAATAAGTATTTTAACGACTGTGTATATGCACGCCTGAGTGGAATATGTGCACTGAAATTTCTTTACGTTTATTTCCCACACACTTACGGCTTTTTTAAATAAGTAAATTACTTTGTAAACTTATTTGTTACTTGCTCACAAAGGGAAGTTTTTAAGTGGAACAAATTTCAATGCTTTAAATTGCTAATGATCCTAGACGTAAATAATTCGTGCGTAAATTTAATATAAGTTATTACGGCATTCAGCGTTACGTGCTGCATTTATCAGAGCGAACTTTGAAAAAGGCATAGTTTGTTTTTGTTATAAAGGAAACTTATTTTGGTAGAGCGAATCAAATAAAATAATGAAAATATTAGGTCATATTGGAAAGTTTCCACGGATTCGAGCTTCTTTTCAAATAATTGCAAACTGCAATGTGGTTGATATTTAGTGCCTCTGTTATTTCCTTCTATTCCGGGGTTTTAATACCCCAAAGATTAACGAAAGAAAAAAAAAAAAATTGAAGAATGCTATCAGAACTCTTCAGGGTGTGAAGCTTAAAATATTATAGTAAGTCCTACCCATAAACCTGAGTGTACGAGGAGACTTTCAATATTTAGATTTTCTTTTATCAAACTTGAACCATCTTCCAAGCTCTAAATGCCATATTCTGTACCCGTTTTAATGCTAGCGAGCGCTTTTAAGCCTTTCCTTAATGTAACTCCATATATACAAGTTAATGCGATTTAATGAATGGATCCATAAAAACCCACGGTGTGGACAAAGGATAAATTTATTAGATACGTCGCATATCTCACGAAACACCATATTAATCTACGGTGCGGTATTTTTTAAACGACATAATGCCTTTCTGTTCGGGAAAAATTTTTATCAAATATTTCAAACTGAACCAGTTCTTCGAAACAACTATTATTACAGCCTACACCACTTGTTTTATAAGGGACTGTTAAGTTGGACTGTATGTGTGCAACATGCAGAAAGACCTGAGATAGAAGCACCTTCTGTAGGAACGACCAATTCAGAATGACTTTCTAAATCCATCTAAGTTTGTCTATATGTCTGTCTGTCTGTATTATATTATTGTGTTCCTACGTAATGTGAACCTCCTACGAGTCGCATTCTCTGCGATATTTTCATGACATGGTGGTGTAGGGTATTAAACGAAGGACTGCGGCCCAATATAATTTCACTTGCTTTGTTTTTTATATACTTCTTCTTTGTTAACGCGAATATAATCTTGAAAAGCCATTTTTTTGACGACGAACTATTATGTACAAATTATTGAATGTTTTCTCAATTATGGAAATTTAACTTTCATCGAAGTTTTTTTCGAATGTAAAAATCTGCCACCAAATGGCCTAAACCGGAAATCAATCCAGAAAATATCAGCTATTTTGGCCTATACTAAAAGAAACTATACTGAAGCGCCTTTGATTCGATGAAAAAATTTGGAAAAATTCTTTATTAAATACATACATGAAGCATGAATGTTCACAAATACCTAACTGTTGTCAAGGGAGAGTCTTCTTCTTCCTTTTCGATTGGTTAAATGTAAATTTTTGAAAGAAAAATCCACTTTTTTTACGTCGTTTAAGCTTGGAAGTACCGCGATTCAGTTCATTTTCTTCGCGATTTCGAAAAACACTTGCAGAACATTTACGCTTCCAAGTCTAATGGCGACCTCATCACAGTGTGCACAGTTCTCTTAGATAATTAAATCAATGTCTTTGCTGGCTAAATACGAAATTGGTCTCACGCCATTGATTCAAAATATCCATCTAAAATCAACTGTGACACTTCTTCGCAAAGCATTTACAAAAGAAAAAAATCTTCATAAACTTTATTTACAATATTTCATCTTCTTCCAGGAAACCTACTTTTTTATCTTCAAAGCAAGGCAAGGAACCGAATTTTGCTTGTTGACTAAACATTGTTTGTTGAAGGGAAAGAACTGGCACTGGCTGAAAGAAAATTTCAGAAACATTCCCGCGTTCAAAGGTAAGGTTTCTTAGTGGTTTGAGAATTTTAAACGAGGCTGTATGGACACTGTTGCATCTGAATGCAGTGGACGTAGAAAAACGGTGATGCAACCGGAAAACTTTGAAAAAATCTTGAAAATTATTCTCAATATTCGATAAGCAAAGCCGCAAAGGATAGCTGACGTCTCAAGGGTGTGAGGAAACCATATATTCAATTAAACTGGGGCTCGAGGTTATTCACTGTGAAACGAGCGTCACAATTGGAAGCCTGATATGATGGAAATAAACAGATTGAAGGTTGAATCGCTGCCCCACCTCCTTATTCTTTCTACATAAACTCGAACCGTGCTCCGGCGGTCAATATCTGTTTGGCAATTTTCAAAGGTTGTCCTAGGTAGAAGCGCATTTTGAGGCTGCTAACAAAACACTGTGCAAGGAGGCAGCCTTAGGAGGCTAATAAATAAGGCCAACTTTTGAGATATTTACTTAGTCAAGGGAAATATTGTTTGTACGTTACTACAAATGGATGGTAATTTTCCTTTTCTCTTTTTTTTTTTCTTCTCATATCGGTATATCTGGAAAATTCAATTGTGCACTTGAGGTAAAAATTTTCCGAACATTAGTCGTAATGGACTCAAACACTCGGTGTGACTAAGTTGTCATAATAACTTTATTGGATCATCTCCATCATTATCTCGCCTTCTTCCGCATTGCAAACGAAATCACAAAACACTCCACTTCCGCACTCTCATAATGGACCCGAAACAAGGGGATTATTTTACCGTTGCAAGAAGTACTAGAAATTGATTTCGGGATGGAAAGGGATCCTCTATGTGGAAAATTTTAAATTTTCTCTTAGTAATTTATTGCAAATATTTTATTATTTTTCCATACATAGACGTACATAGGCATTTATTTATGCACGTATTTATGTATTTGTGAAATGAAACATTGTATTTAATATGTAGCAAGTAATTAGTTTATATTAACTTCTTAGCACTTATTATCGCATTTATTCCATTCAAAGTACAATAAAATCTGTGTGTGAAGCGAAATTCTCTCAGAGTAAATGTCGCTGCATTGAGAGAAAAGAGATAGCGCAGGCAAGTTATTGGAGAATATGTGAACAGTGGTTTAAGTGCAAACAATTTTTACTTTAAACAATAATTTTACATAAGTTTTTACTACAAACGAAGTCTTATAAAGAGCGAAAATAATAGAAAATAATAATAAAAGTGTTAAGAATTTTCTGTTTTTTTTTTTGCTTTTAGTCAAAACAATCATACAAAGTACAAAACAAGTAAAAACACTATAGTGGACGATGGCTCGCAATTACGCATTCTACAGTTATTTATGTAATGAGTTTTGAAAATAAGGCGTTATATAGGAAGTGATCGAAAATGTTGCCCGATCCGAACCGTTTTCAATGGCATGCTTACTTGGACATATGCCAGTGCATAGAATTTCATCAATTTCATCGACCTGTAGGTTAAACATAAGGAAACAAGATGGACAGATGCATAGGTAAACTTAAACCGATTCAGAAAGTGATTCTGCGGTCTAATGAAAGGTGACTCTATCTAAACTCTCTCCGGATGTTGGGTTCATCCGCACAAGCTTAATGCGCCCTTGCATCGCAAGTGATGCAGGGCACAAAAATATAAACACACAATGCATGCATGTTATATTTTAACCCGCTTCAAGGATATTAATGCTTTCATAATTTTTTTAAATAAATCGATTGAGAGATTATACAATCTAAATTAATCCGTTTAATTTTCTAGCCTTTAAGATTATCTTGAACAAGCTAAAGTTAACAAGATTAAGTTTAATTTAAAAAAAATGTTTGCCAAGTGGAATATTCTCTAATATTTTTTTAAGAAGTAACTTTCTTTGTAATATTTTAATAAGTAAATGAACCCTAATTTTTTACAAAACCTTTGGAACCGAGCCTTTAAAAAACATACATTCATATGCCGTACACGGTCAAAAAAAGTGCTTTAATTTTTCCGTATGTTTTTCTAGATTTTAATTCTTCTCTTGTGTCTGAACGAACGGGCAACATACGAAATAGGGAACTGTCCGTGACATTCTGACACTTTAGAGTCTCGCAGATTTAGTGTCGTATTCTGAGCAACATCACAGAGACCTCGTAACTCACAAAGCTTTTCACTTTTACTTGCTTGGCTTTGCGTGACTTAACGACCTCGTTCTGTAACAAAATTGTTTCTGAAGCATTCTGCTGTGATTATTGCTCAAGATTAACGATTTTATGCAATGTGTCACAAGAAATAAACAAATAAAAGACATTGTTTTTCTTTATTCCTAGGGAGCATCCATAAAAAGCCAGTGTAAATCTCTCAGAAGCAGTTTGGATATGGGAATGATTGTCTTTAAACTAATTTTTTTCAACAGTTGTGTTCCAATAATTTCATAAACAAAACCGAAAAGTCCATCTTGACTTGTGCATAAAATGCATAAAAAATAAATTACTGGGCGGAGCGCATTGATATCGTTT